CTTTTTTTCAATCCCCAAGGAATATTAACAAATGTTAAAGAAATATTTGGCAGAAAATACTAAAGATTATATTGATAGTTTGAATTATAATGCATGAATATCTATATTCATAAAGAAATATATTCATCAGATTTATTATAAATTATATAAATTTATAAATTTTTTACTAATTATTTTTATTTGATAATTTTAGATAAGGGCAAAATGCTATAGTAAATGCAATAACTACGCTTCTGCTATCCAAAATACTGTCTTTTTAATATTTGGTGAAGAGAAGTTAGTAAGGATCAATAATAAAACATTTATCATCCATCTCGCTAAGTGAAAGAGGAGTGAGAAAATACAAACTGTATATAAAAATCTCTTTCAAAATAATAAATTACTCACAAATATTGGTTATATGGTATTTAAAAAATATAAAGAAAAAGTGTTGCTATTAATATATTATGCATTTGTCCTAGCTATGTGTGATATTCTGCTCAGTTCATCAAGTCTAGGAATCAAATATAAAGATAGGTCAATAGCAAGACATATATATGTATTTATGGTAAGTAATACTTTGAATTTGCTTAAAGTTTGTATTAAAAATCATTCATATAATGAATATTTAGCAAGCTGTAGAAAATAACTAGTCAGCAATACCAGAAATAATAGCAGAAATAATGAAAAAAAAATTAAAGAGATGAAGCAAGCGGTAAAGAAAAAATATCAAAAGTCATAGGCTGAGAATATAGTTGAAAAAGATGATGATAAGGAAGATGATGATTATGATAATTTTATAAGTTTCTTTAATACTCTTTGCAATTTGTTTCTTTAAAATCTTTAAAAAAACTAATTTTTTATTCAAAAGATTACTGACTTAGATCGTGAATTTATATAATATAGTTTTCTTTAAATTTGTATTTTATTATATATATATAGTTTACAATAAAATAAATATCTTTACTATTATTTAATCTATAAATTCTACAGTTACTTAAAATTACTACTACTACAGTTACTTGAAATTGCTACTGCTACTTGAAACTGATATTATGAAATTTTATGTAGAATTTTAAAAAAAAAATTAAAAAATTTACGCAGATCTATATTTTATTACAGATCTGTACAGATTTTTTAATTTTTTTTTCTTTACCAATTGTTGTCAGATTTGAAGTTTTGCATAGATTTTGGATTTGAAGATCTGTGTAAAACTATGCTCTCAAAAATTTTCTGATGAATATTAATTTATTATAATATATTTATCTTTAATAAGTTTAGATTATAAATTAGATTAATTAAATCTTATTAATAAAAATATATTTTAAATAATCTAAATTTAAAATAAAAATATTATTTTAAGAATAATTTAATATAAATTCTTGAATTTATAATATAATTATTTAATTATATTATTATTAAAAATATAATTAAAATTATTATATATTTTATATTTAAAATAAATTAAAATATTTTTAGCTTTTTGTTGTTAATATTAATTATAATAAATATATTCTTAATATATCTTTATTTTTAATATTTAATAATATTAATTAAGCTTATTATAATTTCAAAAATAAAGTTAATATCGATTACAAACTCTTTATAATTTTTTTAATTTTTAATAAATAAAGTTATTAATACTTATTTTTATTAATAAAAATACTATAATTATAAATTATTAATATTTAATTATATTATTTATATCTTAAGTATATCATAAAATAATAATTAAAAAATAGAGAATTAAAAGTAATTATATATTTTATAGTAAAACTTACTGATAATTTGAGTTTATTAACTCTTATTAAATATTAAATATAAATAATAAAATTATCTATTTAAAGAGTTTTATTAAAACTTTAAAAACAAAAAATATATATTTATTTATATTTATAATATAGAATATTTTTTGAAATTTAATTAAAATTTATTATAATTATATAGAAAACTTTATTAATTTTATAATTTTTTTTAAATCTTGAAGTAATTTATTAATTAATTAATATAATAAAAAAAATCAAAGACTTTTATTTGATTTGCATATTTAAAAGTTATACTACTAGTATAAATTATTATAATTTCAAAAAGTTATTAATTATAATTAATTATATCTTGATTTTTATTTAAATTAATATAATATAATCATTTTTAATTATATTAAAATAAATAATTAATCTTTTTTAATATAATAAAAGAATTTTAAAAAGAAATTAGTAATTATAAAATCTGATTAGACATAAATAAAACTTATTATATTAATATAAAAAATTAAATATTCTCTTATTTTGTATATTTATATAATTATTATCTTATTTATAATATTTTATAATAAGAAAATATAAATTTTATTTTGTTCTATTTCACAAAAATAATATATTAATATGATTATTTTTATTTATTTTTGAAAATAATAAGATATTAATAATAAATTTAATGAATTATATCTGAATTAGTATATAAAATATTATAATAAATAATTTTATTAATAAAAATAGTTCTAATATTAATTATTTAATAATAATAAAGTATAATATAATTAAAAAAATAAAATGATTTTTGAATATTAAAAAATAATGAATAATATATAAATAAGTATCAAATTTATAAATATTTTTGATAACTTAATAAATTATTAATAAAAAAGTAATAAGTATTAGAAAGTATTATCAATTTATAATTAGCACAGAATCTAAAAATTAAATAAAAAGCTTATATTTTGATTATATTAATTTATATTATTATAAAATATATAATTAAAATATAATTATTATTCTATTATCAAATTTATTATTCTAAATATCTATTCTTGAATACTTAGAAAAATATGCTTTATATCAAATTTAATATAATTCTTTATAAAGTTTATAAGTTAAAATCATCTTTTATATTTATTAAGAAATCTAAAATTATATTAATCAAGAAATTCTTTATAAAACTCTCAATGCATCTTGTCAATATTCACTAAATCTTCAAAGAACAATTCAAAAAATATTAAGAATTAGTTGATATCATTTACTAATATTAAATTTATAGCAAAAAAATAAAAACAAAAACATATTCGAAAAATCATTAAACAAACTATCCAAATACAAGAAATTTATATATAACAAATTTTATCCACAAAAAATAATATATATAAATTATAAGTCTTTAATATATAGTAATTAAAGCTTAATAATTCTAATATATTGATAGTTCTATTTGATTGGCTGCAGCAAAATCTATCATGTCAGACATAAGTAACAAATCGGTGATGTTTGAAAATCACATGATTTGACATCTTTTTTGTCACGAGATACTAGTCTGTACAAAAACATAATTAGCATGTGCATAATCACGTGAACATATATGATTGACTAGATTTAAAATCTTGTCATGGCGAAAAAAAGCCACAAATCATGTGATTTTTTAGGAGGTAAATCAATCGAATCGTAAGATATGAAATTTTAATAATGTTTAAGATTAGGAGAGCTAAGTTAGAGACCACAGATGTATATAGTAAAATTTCGCAAGGAACATTTTTTATTAGAACACAGAAAGTAGTTTCATAGACAAAATTTCAAGATAAAAGCTATTTTTCGGTTTTCTACGTTTGTTTATATTTGTTTTTGAATTTTTCCATTACACATTGATCTCGCATTCTAATCACATAAAGATAGTTTTAAATATTTGCAAAGTAAAATGTCGAATTAAAAATATCATGAAGATATTATCAGGACAGCTAACCTCACGTGCTACAGTTCGAAAAAGCTGGCATTTATTAACGTTAAGATTAAAATTGGTTCCTTGAACTACGTGAGCGAGAAAAGAAAGATTATTTTCCATAAAGTGCCATAATGTAAGCCTGTACCCCAAAATGTTATTGTAATAAAAGGACTTGAACTTTGCATTTGCTTTTGGTGTGTTAAAGTACTTCAATCATTTAAGGTGTTCGTCTTAATTTTTTTATTTTTATAGACTCGGGTCGAAAAATTTATAAATATGCCAGTTCTGATATTTCCTTATGCCCTTCGATTTTGTTCCTTTACTATAAAATAAAAAATTGCACATCGCAAGACTGTATTTGAGCATCTCCAAACTCTCTTCAAAGTCTGTTATTATCTTCTTCCATAATAATTCGAACAAGTTCTATTTTTAAAACTATTTTACCAAGATTGCATTGCATTTGAGCACGCCAAGATTCTGCTACGCTTTAAATTTCAATCAAGCCTATATTGAGAATCACCGGATGCTTGCTGATCTAAATGTCATCAACAAAAATTTATTATTGATTTGCTTTGGATTTTTTAATAATAAAAACCCAAGTGTAGTGTGTTATACATGTAATTATATCGGCCCTTTTGAAACGTTTTTTGATTCAGCTCATATATATTGGAAACGATTTCTTTATTATAGGAAGCCTATAAAATAAAATAAAAAAAATATTGTTCTGCGTATTTCAAAATCATATCAAGTTTTCAAGTACACCTTATTCCAGAAAGTCAATTTATAGGATTTGTTCATGTAGTATCGGTACATGTACTCCATAAAATTCGGAACGACGCGCCACAGATATTGAGAAAGAAGCACCACCATTTTCAAAATTACGTGTACATCCTTTAAAACCAATCAAATTAATCTTCACGGATGATCATCTTTTTTATATTTTTGCCTATTTAGGGTTGTTTTTAATAAACCAAAAAAAGTACATGTACTAAATGCTTTCCGTTCCTGTTTCACTCAATGTAGATTATTTATATTTGTACATACAAAAACATAATTCTTCCGCGAGTCAAAAACTCTGTGCCGCGTGCACGGCAACAAAAGCATGTTGATTTGTAATTTCAATATGTAACTTGATTGGTTTTCTGAATTATTGACGTGTATATATAAGAGCATACATAAACTTAGTGACAGTAAATGAACAAATGCGAGTAAAAAATTCATTCGACGACGTTATTATTTATTCAATATTTTTCTTGTTCTTTCTACCCACGTATCAATTATACTAAAAAGGAAATTAAGGTAAAAAGCGAAAAATGAGAAGAAAGATACCAAATTTCAAACAAGAATATGTAGGCCACTACATGGATGATCCAAACTATTCTCCAATGAAAGCACCTAAATGGTATGATATAATATGGTGGCTTTTTGTCTGTTTAGTCAATTGCTTCCTATTATTCCTAAGTTTTATATATATTGCTGCATATTTACAACAAGTGAGTACGTATTTAGGTATTTCGTTGTGTTGATATGTATTTTTATATTTGTGTTTATCAATCATTAACAATCATCTCTGTGAAAAAGTGGCGCTACGATGGCACAATCACAGAAACCCTTTTAATATGTATAGTTTCATTTGAATTAAGTCCGCGAATCGTGTGTGTTTTATTATTATGGTGGTATTATGCGGGCTGTAAATATTTTACATTTTGGAATTTTGTTAGCGTGTTCGTATGTAAGTATCTATCTAAAAAATGTAATTGATTTGAAAATATTTAACAGCAAATATTTCGTCAATAGGCAAAAAAGAAGCTTATATGATTGGTGGCGAACTAGTAATAACCAGACGAAAAATCCGAACAATAGGGAACTGGTCAGACGCAATCACGTTGATGTATTTAATATTTATGGCAGTTGCTCTATACATCGATTTTGGGAATATCCGAACGAGTCTTGGTAATGGAATTACCGACAGTGGTGGTGATGTGCAGGAGCAGGTTCGTAACGGACTCGAGGAAGGAATCAAACATCCTATTGATAATTCTGGTCACGCTGATCGAAAGATAATAACACTATTTCTTGCATTAGTGTTTCAAGCGATAATCTTAGCGTTAAGGGCTGTTTTGTCGTTATTGGCTCAGTGTGGCGCACATACATTTTCTAAAGAGTTGGACGCCACGAACGAACCTATTGTGTGGATTGTGTGAGATAGCATATATATTTGTAACATATAATATAGAGTACTGTAATTATATAATTTTCTTCAATAATAGTATTAATATTTAGAAATCAAATTTAATGTTGGTAAGTAATTAATATTTTAAACACTATTTTGTAAAACAACCATTAATATTATTATATAGCATACATTAAAGTTTAAAATTCGCGCGATTAGATTAGCGTTAGACAATGAAAATTGTCGCAATCTAACTTTTAGTTGTGGCTATGATACTATCTACACAATTGCCTAATGTTGTTTGTTAGTTCATAAAATTTCAATAACTCAATTTATTTCAGATTCTGTCGAAATCCTTAATGATGGAAAAGATGCTTAGACAATATTGATTGAGAAGCTGTGCGTACTGTTAAACATGGATGATGGGGACAACGGGACCGATTTTATGATTGATTCGATATTTCTCTAAAAACCCAACAATATAGTGGAAAATTTTCTTAGTCAAACATTATCGATTATTAGATTTGTATTTAATGGACTCTTTCGTGGATAATCTATAGCGTACTCAAATTTTTTTAAAGCATATCCTTAAATAGCATGATTCTAGCCTAAGCCACATAAATACCACAACTAATAATAACCTTGGTCAACTATGGTTTTGATTCATGACAAAAGTGAATTCAATTGCTTTATTTGTCACAATCAGCTCTAATGCTTCTTAAATAAAATATGTAAGTTTTTATTCATCTTTTTATTTGCTTGTATTATGAAAAATAAAAATTATCTTCTGAAGAAAGAAATCTCATTCATGGTTTTGCTGAATACATTGTAAAGTAGATTTACAAAATGCATATACATGAAATTTAATAAATGTACATAATCGTAATAAAGTTTTATTCACTGATTCCATTAATAACTTTCTGAATTATTATCAAGTTTTGTACATGTATATGCTTGCATCTCATCATTGCAGTTAGCTTGGTGATAAACATAAAAAATTTCATATTTCTATAAATGGGATATGGTTTTGTTGAATTCAAATTTAGTTGAAAAAATAACCAATCTTTTATAGTAATCTATATATAAATGAAAAATGTCTTTTGATAAAGTACAGTATCTGAATAGATTAAGTATAACTTAATTGGTGATCACCTGCAAAAATTTCAAAAGATTGTATGAGCTTTTTATTTAATTTTAAATAAAACTACGTAACAGGGAGAGGGATTTGGGCAAATTACAGTTCTGAAAAATTTTTCCGGTAATTTTTAATTAGAACTGCACTTACTATTAATTAGAATACGTCATCAATCAAAGTTTTTACGGATTTTATGGCCACGAGTTGATGAATTGAGTTTAAAGATGGGCAAATGCGCGTATAGTACATCTATGCGTATAGTAATATGCATAATAATCTAATGTAAATATATAGTAATCAAATAAATGACGCGAATTCATATTTTCTATAACTATTATATAGTTTTATCAATAATTATCACTATCATTTAATGTTTCTAATATATTATCACTATTATTTGATATATTAAATTGTTCATTATCATACCATCACAATATTCACTTTCATTATTATCCTTATATTTGCTTTCATCACTCTCATTACCAGCATAATATTGATTACACTTATTTCATCATTAATGCTTTTTTTGGCAATTTTTTTTTGATTATCTGGAGAAGTTTGTAATTTATAATTATTATAAATATAAACTAAGTTAATAATATGCTTATTACTTAACTGATTTCTTTTTTTGTTATGAATATTTGCAAAAGCTGACCAGTTACATTCAGAAGCTGCAGAATTGTTGAGATATATCATATTAATTATGTTAATTCAGGTACTGCTTGTGCAAAACTTGCATTTCATCAAATAATTATCAATACATTCCCATGCTAATATATTACTGAAAAGATCTGATTTTGCTTTGTATTGTATAAGTTAACTTCCAATAATAATTTTATTATCAGAATAATAATTATTAATAAAAGTTAAGATTACATTCATACTATCATTTGATAATTATCTTCCAAAAAGTTATAAATTCAATAAATAAATAATCAGTATAATTAAATTATAAATTTTTTCCTATTTTGCAGTTAACATTTTATCTTTTTGTATTGAATTTGAAATAGCTAATAAAATTAATTATAATTAATTAATATTAGTTTTAATATATTATAATATTTTAATAACTTACCTTCTAAATTTTTCAAAGTTTCATATTATTTGTAAAAATAAGAAAGTTTTGAAGTATTACTTTCAAAAATTGTAATATCTTTAGCAATTTCTTCAAGAATTACAAAAAGTTCTGTAATTACTTTTCAAAAAACTTTATTTAATATATTATTTTTAATTAATTCATTTATTATTATATTTGAATTAGTTGAATTTTATGAGTAACTAATTCAAGTCTAACTGATTTGTTTTAAGTAATATAAGACAAGCTATACTAAATTCTTATTAAGTTTTTGCTGGAAGTTTAAATATATTCTAAGTATTTTTGATATTATTTTAAAATTGCTGCTAAAATATGATAAGATTTAAAGTATTTAATTATTTCTTTAGCTTTGATATTATATCTTTTGTCTAATTAAGTTTTATAATATCATTAATTATAAATTGAGTATATGTAATAAATATCTGATGAATATAATATTTGGATACTTGATAACTAAAATTCTCCAGGCAGACTTCATTACTAAAATATTATCTATAATTACAGCTGATAATTTTTCTGTATCAATTATACTTATTATTTTATTTATATTTGCAGAAATATTTATTATATTTGTTCAGTTTACCTGTAGATTTAGCTAAAATAAATATTAATACTGGTATAGTTAAATAAAAATAAATCAATATTTCTGAACAATATTTAACTTATAATTATAATAATAATTAGAATAAAAATAAAATTTTATAATAAATACAAATAATAAATATAATTTATTATTCATCACAAATAAGATAATTTTATTCAGCATTATTTATATTATTTTTACTTTATTTTTAGTATCTTGATATATTTTATTAAGTAAATAATTTGATATTTTTTTATGTAATAAAAGCTTTAATACTGGATATTTTTTTTGATCTAATTATTTAATAGTTCTATTTTTGAAAGTGATAGCTGTAATTCATATTTGAAAATAGCTTTTGCAAATGCTTTTTTATTTTTTTCTTGTACTAAATGTAAAATTCTATTAATAAAATTATTGATATTGCCATTTGTATATTTTATATATTTCATAATTATTAATTATTAATAAGATTAATTATATTTATAGAATTAATCATATTGATGTTTGAACTAGTAATAGTATTAATTGCATTAGTAGAATCAGTATTTAATATTATATTAATTTTTAATTATATATTTCCTGTAGATAATTAGTATTAAGTAAACTTGTATTAGCATTTTTAAAGTTTATATCAAAAAATGATCATTTAATTTCAATTAAAGTAGTTGAATATATGTACAGTTATGACTTACATCAAATTATTAAATTATTACATTGATTTTCTTGGTATTTATATTCTGCATGCTGTTGTTAAAATTCAGTAATATGATCAATTTAATTAAAATATTCTCATATAGTATTATTACCGTAGTGACATAAAATTCCTTAATTCCTTAATTTTTCCCTAGTTATGAAATATTACATTTTATTATAATTTTA